GCTTCCACGTTGAGATAACGAGCAGCAGTGGGCACTGCTGATGCTGCAGGTAGAGTGCAAAAGATTTTTCCCATTTATTCCAACACTTTTATCCAAGCTATGTAAATTGCAGGAGACTTCTTTGACACATGCAAGCCTCTTCTGTTGATATTTGTCCATGTGATAACTCAATCACCTCATTTCCCCTCTGGGTTGATTCTGGGAGTAGCATGCTGCAGAGTTTCCTAAATTATGATCCCGTAAGGGATGGAGTTCTCTGCTGAGCTTTTGTTTACCATGGCTAACTCATCTGTCATGTGAAAAGGCAGCCAAAAATATGCAACATATACATTTTTGTAGTGTGATTTTGGAATGTCCTTAATAGAGGCTGGTTTACATGTGTCTGGTGACCAATATATGCTGAAATTCAGGTATGGAGAGCAAGACTGAAGGGACCTTCAGAGATCCTGAGACTCAAGTCAGGATCAGCCAGACTTCTCTCTGTGCAATGATTGTAGAGAAACTCTGGCTGACTGCATTAGGCAAAAACAGATGAACATGCACAGAACGTCTCATTTATGTTAGGTCCCTTTACGACTTCATGATCTGGGCACTCAGAATCTGAGGCATCAGTACCCCAGCACCCTGATTCTCAGTGTGTTCTTGAGGTTTCTCTTCTGCACAGCTGTGACTCAGGTTCTCTGTGGTAAGCAATGGTGTTTGGAAGAGACTGGAACAGCGAAGGGGAGAGATGGGTCTGTGATAATATCTTCCACAAAATCTAGTCCAGACTGAACAAAGGTAAAGCTGTGATGAGCTACATGTGCATCCTGTCCAGAATCTCTATGGGGATAGCTGAATGTAGGTAGTTGATGACTCTGAAATGCTGAACCAACACCATTCCCTCCAGATATCTCATTACGAGCCCATTCAGAATCAAAGCACAAACAATGATGTAAACTGTAGATACTTTAAACACTCAAGATTAATATTTTGAGAAACTGTCTGTTGTCCAAGAAATATTTGTGGAAAATAGCTGGAGGAGTAATTTAGACTAGCAATAGCCTGTGGAAAACTGTGAACAGCTGGGACACTATGCCTGAGCAGGAGAAAGTAGACAAATCCATTATTTTGTATGACTTACTACTTTAGCTCTGGTAGCTGCATTGCTTTCAGTTTCATGGTGTTTTTTTTTTTTTTTTTTTTTTTAAGAACTTATTCAACAAAGAAAACATAATTTCCCTCTGGGATAAATAACCTCCTGTAATTGCACAACTCTACTGGTTTTTAATCCAATCTGTGTACCCACAGTAAGTGGTCTTTGGTTTTCTGGCTAAGTACCAGTATTTGCAAGCATCATGGAAAACCTTTCCTCTTGAGCTATAGAGCACCATAAGATTTGTGGTACCAGAGGGCCTGACCTGAGCCAACAAGCAGCGGGGCATCATGTCAAATTCTGCAGATTATAAGCTTGCATCCACAGTAAAAGTTGCATTTTCTAGCCATTCTGTAAAGAAACCCCTCCAAATAAAAAAACAAGGCTGGCTTCGTTTCCTAATCTGCCTCTCAAGAGGAAGGAAAGATAGGAAGGAAAAGTGATCCTCTTCTGTGCTTGGTTGCCATTTATTCATAAACCTACTGAGGACCAGCAACCTGTTTGATGCTTCTTTTTGTCAGTGAACTCCAGCTACTCTCAAAATAGTGGAAGTTTACAGTTATACCTGGGCATCAATAGTGTATTTAAGACCTGACAAAGTCCAAAGAGCTTTCTCATTAACTGCTACACGAGCACAACACAGGAGCCCTGTTGCTATCGGCAGCATGAGGTTCACCCCCCAAAGCCTGTTGCACAAAGTGGAGCTGAGCTGTCTCTCACTTAACCTACAATGACCCTGGTAGGGCTGCTCTATGCCAAACATTTGGGTCACAACGCTCCTGATGTTCATAACCCCCAGACTGAACTGCTCTCAGATCAGGCAAAGGGCATAAGAGAAGCAGGGAGGAGACCCCTGTCCTGTGCTGTCTCTTCTCAAATAGTTTCTAAAGCAATGCTGAAGGGGTTATTTTTGCCCCTGCATAATTTTGTCCTGAGAACTCTTGAAGTACCATATTTTACTCCTCCTTGCTCCTAACTTTAAAGTTTTGGATTTTTCTTTTTCTTAATTACCAACCATCCACCCTCCAGCTGCAGCATTAACATGTGGGATGGTGGTTGCCTCCAGTGGCTATTTAAATTAAACACAGATCTACTGAATAGATAGAGTGCCAGGAGATCTCTTTTGAAGGGAGAAAAGGGGAGAGGAGAAACTGCTTTCCAGTTAACATTGCCAATGTGTTTCTGAAGCAAAGGATGACACCTTTATGACTTCAGGACATTATTAATGCCTTTCTCTTACAGAACATGTGTCCTGGAAACCTGTAGCTGTGTCATCTTCAAGTTGTCATTTCATGGGGAATACTGCAAGTGAGCTGCATCCAGCCTGGCTTGGGATTGCATAGGACACATCCAAGAGACTGCAGGTAATTCAGCCAATATTGCAACTCCCTGGAGGCAAGGCTGACTCCAGACCAAACAAAGTGCCAGCCAATGTGCTGTGCAGGTTTGTAGGTGAAGCCAACCAACTTTGTTGATGAGGCACAGACTCTGGGAAGACACTGGGAAGCATCTGCTCAGAGCTGTATTTTTAAACACAGACAAGTTGTGCCGGTGACCCCCTTGGCTATTTGTCATGGTAGGTTTGTACCAGTCAAGGGCAGCTGATCTGCACCTATGCCAACGCCTCTGCAGACTACACCTGGAGATTGTCCTGCAGTAGTGACAACAGTAACAAGCCAATATCTCATTGCCCCATGCCTCGTCCAAGCCTCCCTACACCAGCACAAATGCCAACCAGGACGTCAGCAGTGAGAGGGCTCTGGAAAGAGAGCTAAGAGAGCTCTTGCTAAGAGGCTGAGGGGCTGTGGGAGCAAGTGCAAGCAGTGCACAGCAGCAGGTTTGTGCTCAGGCTGGCTTCTGGTTCCTCAGCACAGTTTGTTTGCACGGCCTCCTCCTACCTCAGTGTGATGGATAGGCTCAGCTCCTCAAATGGGTGCAACCGGGCTGTTAGCCAAGCATTGGAGACTCTTTCAACACAGAGATTTATGGTGAGTTCAGGGAAGCTTGAAGGGAGTTGTGCCTGGGAGAGGGTGGTCCCTAGAGAGAGCAGCAGATGCATTGCATAGCCTTTGCTGTTCTGCCAGCTTTTCTCTCCTTGCCTGTGCTGGTAGGATGCCACGGAGCAGGACGTATCAGTCAAAGCTGCTTTCTCACACATCCATATGATACCCTCCATGTAAGCCTTAAACCTGCTCTGGAGCATGATTCCACCACTTTCTTTATGCCTCAGGCTGCCAACTGAAACAACATTTCTCACCCTGGACCCAAAGGGTTAATGTGGGGTGTTAACTTCAAAGTTGTGCTTGCTGGGCACTATGGGGAACTGAGCAGTGTGGGTCATGGACACCCCTGTGAGTGGGTCCCTTCTCTCTGTGCCGTGAAGAGCAGATGTGGCGTAAAAGCTTCCTTTTGGAGAGGCCATGATCAATCTTTGCTTTTTAGAGGATGACAAATCTATTCTATTCGCTGACATGCACACGCATTCTCATCTCCTGATGGGTGACCCCTGTCTTAATGCCAAGCATGCGAGGTCCGGCTCTGTAAACGAAAATGAGAGCTTTGCAAGCTCATTAATGCTTTGAAGTCGCTCATTAGGAGCAGATTCCTCGGGAGCTGGTGAGCACAACACCCTTTGGGAGCACGGCTGCATCTGATATTAATGCGGGTGCTGTGGCTGGAGGCAGCCAGGGCTGCTGGGCTGTGGGTCTGCACACACGGACCATCGTGGCAGATTGCTGTGGCCGTGAAGCAAAGGGTAACAGGGAAGCAGAAAAAGTTGCTGTCTCCTGCTGGCACCTAAGAGGGTGAATTTGCCTCCATTTTTGCATGTGAATAGGTTGCCCCAGTCCTCTGCTGAGCTGAGGACCCTCAGCATCCTCCTGTGGGATGCCTGGGGTCCTTCTGCCTTCCTTCCTAGCACCTGTAAATTATGTGCCACCCTCTTCTGAGATCTGGAAATATCCCTTTTCCTGGTCAGTATCTCTCGTGTCTGCAGCAGCCCAACACAAGCCCTCCAAACAGCTCAGGTAGCCCGGGGCACAGTTGTGAGCAGTCCCTGGGGAAGTGAGAAGTGAATTGCTGTTATCTTCAAGCAGAACAGGTCCAGGACAGCCTGGCCAAGCATGTCTCCAGCAGACAGGATCATCTGGTGAAAGGGCCTGGCCAGATTTCTCTGTGTATAGCATCTCCATGTGAAGGTGCTGGCCTGGGAAGAGTGAGGGTGGCTGAATCAGAAACAGAAATTATCAGGCTCCTGTGGCTTAAGGGCTAAAGACTTCATGCACATAGGTACTTGGGTGCTGTGAGTTTGAATCCCATGTAATTCAACAGAGGTTTTTGTGGATTTGTTGCTTTTTTTTTTTTGTGTTGTTTGGTTTGGGTTTGATTTTTTTTTCCCCCCAGATGGCAGAAAAAAACCCCTGTACCTCACCCCAAAGGAAAATGAAATACTCTCCTGTCCCACTGTCTTTCCTGGCTAAATGCTCTAATAGAGCTCCAGAGGTGAACTGAAGGGTGTGAGGAGTGGGATCTAAGGAGCCAGGACAGTGCTTGAACTGTGTGTCTGGATGAGGCTGTTGGGCTGTTGGAGCTGCTCCCAGTGGGGTCAGGCAATGCCCCTCCTGCAGCAGGGTCTCTAGCAGTGTTATCACCAGTGACTATGCTCTTTGCATGAGACGTAGGGGCTGTGCTGTCCTCCAGGGTCCACGAGGCCTGATGCCTCCCAATGAGATATTGCACCAGGTTGTTTGGGACATTAAACAGAGCAGTGAGAAGGGAAAGGTGTCTTGAGTTGGGACCTTGAGGTCTTGGTGGGGTGCATGCCCTCCAGGGGAGGAGTGGGTGGGCCAGGGAAGCATTTCAGTCCACCAGGATGGCCGAGTGGTGAAGGCGTTGGACTTAAGATCCAATGGGCGCATGCCCGCGTGGGTTCGAATCCCACTTCTGGTAGGAGTCTCTTTTTTCTCTTGGTCCAAAGCTCCCATCCCAGCTTTTAGTACATCAGTTCGAAGCAGGGACAGGAGCTCTGAGCCCTGTGCCCTGGGAGCTGAGTCCAAGAAGCGTGAGGACCCTGCTGGGACTGAGCCACCCTACCATCCAGGCTGAATGTGTGGAGAGACTTGAGCCGTCCCTCTGGCACATGGGTTACGGATCTCATCTTTCATGCAGGGACTGCTGAGACTGTCGTGGGCTTGAATCCCACATGCTCCCAAAATAGCAGCTTTCCCATGGCAGAAATAGGAAAACCTGACTACCCTGAAGGGGAGGGGAAAAAGGATGTTGAGCTCTAAACAGCTCAGACGTGTCACAAGTGGCAACCAGTGCAAACAAGTGGGTCCGTGGAGGTGGGTTTGGGGTTTGTGGAGACTGTTCCTATTACCCGCCCTGCTCTATGTCCCCAGACCCATCACTTGGCTCACCCAAAGCAACATTTGGCACTCTTCAGGGGGATTTGGCAGTGACACAACCCCTTGGAACAAAGCAGCATGGCAGGAAGGGGTTCCTGATGCTACTGGTTAATTTGGGAAGTGTATGAGAAGCTGGGGAACCGCTGCTCTGGTGCACAGTGTCACTGTGCCATGGTCTGTCTTGGGTCGGTCCCTACCAACGCTCGTGAGATTTTTGCTCCCCCCTCCTGTGCGTGGATGGGCACCAGACATTCCCTCAGCACAGGGCTGGCCTGCCGGCCCCGCCGAGGTGCTGTCAGCTTTTCATTTGGCTGCTTTGCTCCAGCCTGAGGCCAATCGGAAATGTCCTACTGCTGGGACATGATTTGAAGTGATGGTGTTAATTTGGTTAATTAGGATTCCTGGGTAGCCTGCGCTTCTTGCAAATCAGCTTACCATTGTAGTATCACTGCAAAGAGGTATTTGTTGGTGCATGGGGTTATGTATGAATTTATGATTATGATGTAGGGCCATTAATTTCGTGTTTGTGGCAGATGATACAGCTCAATTAAAAGTTGCACATTAAGATCTTTGGCTCTCTCTGATACATGGGAATCAGACGGTGGCTGACAGGAAGGATTACAGGGCCTATGTGAGTGGCTATATAACAAATGGGGCAGGATCCAGAGGAGAGGACATGGGAGGAATTGCTCTGCTCCTTTCCCATTTGATTAGTGCTGGGAGTGAAATTTTTTGCATACCTGCTAGAGCTGGCTTCTTGCAACTAGTCTCAGTCATTAAGTGATGCAAAGAGTGACAATGCATCTTTGAGAGTATCCCAGGGGGTCTAAGCAGCACTGCAGGTCAAGTCTTTTGCCTCTGATGGCTTGAAGTCAGACTCCTGTCTAGTGCATGTCTCAAAAGCAGTTGGTGGCCTTCACTGAGTTCAAAGCTGAAATCTCCTCATTTGAGCTTCTCTGCTGATCCATATTCTCAGAAGGCTTGTGTACCCCAGGCATATGGGTTCTAAACTGTTCCTTGTCCTTTGAGGATGTTTATCCACTTTGCCAAACTATTGGGCAGACAGAGCATCATCTGGGCTCCAGGAGCTGAATTAACAGCCTTTGTATCACACAAAAAATCCCACAGCCTGTCGGAGTCAAAGGTGGAGCTAAAGGTTAAGCTTGACTCTGGACCCATGTAAGAAAGTGGGGCTGGAGATTTGAGACTGAAAGAGCAATGAGTCCAGTGGCCAGGGTAGGTGAGGGCTGTGGAGGACTGATAAATAAACTGCCTTCTATCAGACCACAGCTTTCCTGCTCCTCTTCCCATATCCTCCAAGCATTTGACAGAGCTGGTCCAGTAGCCATTTCCATGTATCATATTTATTAAGATGGTTACTGAAGGTTAAATATCAATAGCTTATTGCAAATATATTTATTATAGATTAACTATGCAGTATGCACATCTCTTATGTTGTGGTTAAAAGTAAACCTCAGTGAAAGGTTTTTAATAATGAATTTGTGTTGAAGTAGTGTACAATAAGTATCTTTAGCAATCTTACTTTCAATTTCACAAGACAGTTTTATGTTCAATAAATACCTTGAGATTATTAAAAACATATTTATCAAAGATTAACAGTGATGAAATAGATACAAATCTAAGCTGTTAAGCTCAATATGCATACTTAGAATAATCAATTCCTATATTAAAACTCAATAACTGCCTTGTTTAATCTAAATTTTTTATTTATTTTTTTTTTAAATCTTTTTAAGTGTCATCTATTGCTGTGAGCTCCTGCTTGCAGATCTCAGATTAGATCCTGGGACATTTGTACTTAAATCAAGTACTCAGGTAAAAGCAAAGCAGTTCTAGAATAAAGCAGGCTGTTTTGGGAACAGGGAACCAGAGCTTCAAAGGACGTAGGTCAAAGACAGTTCACAGGCACCAGAGCAGCTCCTTATCCCTGAGAAACCTCCGCATCTTGTCTAACTGACAGCTCATAGCACCACCTCCAGCCACATCACATCCAGGATTTGGACTCTGGAGCAGCAACACTCAACTTTTTTACAATCACAGATGCACCCACTCTGTTTTGGATACAGAAACCTGATGCCTGTCTTGTATCCTGTTATTATCTAGCACTTGGAGACAGAGTGCTAAAGTGAGCTAACTGTTTAGGAGATAAACAAAATGTTATTGTTTTACTCTTGTAATGCTGCTGTTATAATTGCCAGCTGGTGGGTAGTGGGAGCTGGTACCTGTGCCTGTGGCTGTGCCTCTGCCTCCAAGTGCTGGGACCTGTGCCCTAGCAACTTTTTTCACTTTTTGTTTAAAAGTGTCGCAGCCTCTGGGTGACTGATGGAGCATTGGTGGCCCTTGGACTGCAGGACTGAGTCCTCCTTTCCAGACTCCTGGCAGCAGTCTGGAAACCTCACAATGCATCCCCCAGCTGGCCTTGGTCCAGCGCCTCATCCCAACATTTGGTGGTGGTTTTATTCCCATGTTTGAGCTTACACTTTTACGTCAGTGAAGCTCAGTGCCCGGTCTAGGTGAAGATACAAATCAGAAGCACCCAAATTCGAGGGAGACCACACACTGTGTATCCAAAACAGGGACTGTGCCATGACTCAAGGGGCTGTGTGGTTTATTCACTCTGTAATGTAGTGGAGGGTACCTGCCTCTTGCGTTGGCAGGATCTCAGAAAGCAGTCTGAGAGGGACAGACACCCCCCAAGCTGCTGCGGAGTAGCAAATAGATGATGATTTTCTATCTCCCAATTGTCTGTTGATTTCCTTCCTATATGAGTTTGAAAACCGGGCTCAGGCACTGCCTTAAGGGATGCTACTGCTGCACTTTAGATTCTACAGAGCAGATCTGTAGGATCAGATGTGTGCATGGGGCTGCCAAGGAAATTCTTCAAAGGCAGGAAGGAGACAGAGCATGATCAAGGCAACTGAGCGTCCTTTGGGAGATGGAAGGACCTGTTTGACAGATGATGGCTGAGAAGGAGTGGGGAATTTCTGGCCTGTATCAGCCACCTGGTATACGGAGATATATATATGTGTATGTGTCTCCTGGTATATGAGTTCCGTCTGTGCTCGTGGCACCAGTATATGGTGGAAGTGTCTGGCTTTGAGGGGTGTGTTTGACTCAAAAGATGGCCCATACAACCAGGGAAGATCTCTCTGTACTCAGCTGTGCGAGGGCACTGCTGGCTCCATTGGATGCTGTGGGGACTCGTAGTTGTATTTTGGCAAGGTCTGACCTTCATGTTGCCTCCAGTGCTCATCTGCTGCCTGGAGCCCCTGAGTTCACTTTTTCTCTCAGCTGTGACCCAAACAGCTTGGAGGCTTTGCATGTCTCCAGAGCAATCACATACTCCTCCGTGGACACCAGAGAAGTTCTATCTGTTTACACCTTGAGTGAGCTTGTCTCCTGTATGTGTTCCTGAGCCGAACCTGCCCTGCGGGGGATGCTTAGCTGCTGGGGGGAGGGGGGAGGGTTCCACCTTAGCAGAGGGCTGCAATTACAGAGGTGACCAGAGAAAAAAGACAGGCGGGCACGCGCCACTGCCTTTAATAGAAGGCAATGATTCTTCTAGGCTCCAGAGTAATATGGGAGATCTGGTTTTAATAAATTAACAGCCTACAAGTAACAATCTCAAGCAATTAAACTGGAATGAAGGCGAGCACCATGAAATGTATTCTGGAGCCAACAGGGGGGTGGCAAATGTGATCCCTGAGCAGTGGAGAAGGCAAAAATGTAATAAGAATGCCCCAGAGGGAGTGGGAGGGCTCTACTCCCCCTCTCCTTTCTATTCTGCAATGTATGTGATGTCTTGCCTTGCTCCCCATCACCTCTTCTTCCTCCACTGGCTCATGGGAACCTGATTTGGTGCTTCCCTGAGCCCACTTGTTTCCATCATAACCATCACCCTTGCACCTGCTCTCATCTATGCAGGTAAGGAAATCCCCATGGTGAGGAGGAAACAGCTGATGGGAGACATGGGAAGTATCTGGGAACTTGAGGATAGCTAGGAGCTGAGAAGGGGAACAAATAAATAATAAAAAAAACCCTGCTAAGCTCCCTGTCTTACATTAATAGCCTGTATGGAATCCTCTTTGCCATAGAATTCAATTTATTTCCATTTAAAGGCTGTTCTTCTCAATCAATGCAGCTAATAAATAGCTGCTGATGGCCATGACCCCCAGGCTGAGGGAAGAATTTATCTTCTGAGCCAATTAAAGGAATTGAACAATTCCTTTTAATAACACTATGGGATTTTAATACAAGGGAAAAAAAAAAAAAAGGCAAATAAAAAAAAAAATAGGAGAGGGAAAGTAATCCTCCCCCTAAGTGTGCAGAGAAGGGTCAGGTAGTGTCTGCCAGGGTCGGGATTAGATGCTTTTACTTGTCTTGTGAAGCTGGTAGGGGAAAGATACCATTCCCTGTGAAAGGACAGGGATGCTTTTCTTTTCTGATGTCTTAAAAAAAACCCCACAAGTCAAAAAACGTAATGGCAAATTATGTTCCCTTGTTTCCAGAGCTGTAAAGGGTTTG